AAACGCGTCACAAAAAAAAAAAAAAACTTTCCAGTTTTTCATATTTTTCTAAATACTGTTTGCTGACATATAAAATTATATATCATTATATATATATATATATATATATATATATATATATATATATATATATATATATATATATATATATATATATATATATATATATATTAAGAAATGGACAAAAGTCCGACAATTTATTTTATTAAAGACATTTTTATGTTTAACGTTCTTTTTTATAGATACAAGTATTTAAGTAAATGCTCTGTTTATAATAAACAGTATTAAATAACATTTACCGGCCTGAATGTCCGAGAAATTTTCTGAAAAAGACATTTTTATGTTTAACGTTCTTTTTACAGATGCAAAAAAATAAGATAAAATAGAACGTTAAACATAAAAATGTCTTTAATAAAAATATATATATATATATATATATATATATATATATATATATATATATATATATATATATATATATATATATATATATATATAGATATAGATAGATAGATAGATAGATTTTTTTTTTGAATTTGAAGGTCTGATGAATTGGATCGTATTTACGATTCCAATGGAATAAATTATGACCATGGAATATTAGTGTTTAAACATTTTTTATTATATATATATATATATATATATATATATATATATATATATATATATATATATATATATGTAATTAGAAAATAGATTAGAAAAAGAGTCCCGTGTGATTCATATAGTTTATAAAATAGAGTAGATAAACTGGTGAATGAAAACAAATTCAAACGAAAGAGTACTGAAGTAATCAGTACGAAAAACATTTATTAAATTAAACCAGATGACAAAAATGAAGCAAGGTTTCAAGTTCGGAATTTTCGATGCGAGAGAGGGACGGTGGAGACTATCCAACATCAGGTCTTGAAGCTGGGTAGAGTTCGCTTGTAGGTGGAATTGTTAGAAAATCCGTTCACTGTTTGATTTCTCACTGTGCGAAACCTTTTGAGAAAATAGCTTTAGAATTATAAATTGTGATTGGTGGTGGTGGGTGGAAGGAGATTGAGATGTTGAACATAGAGAAAGGGTTATAGGACCTGGGTGGGGGGAACGGTATTAGTGTTGAAAGATTTTTAGTTAGGATATAGTGTGGTGGAAACATAGCGAGATTATCAATAAAAATAAAATGAAAGAGAAAAAGAAAATAAAAGAAAAAACAGAATTTAGAAAAATATGACAAAATGAGAGGGAGGAAAGAAATAGCACAAAAACGGGATAAAGAATTCATTTATGATAATCATTGTTAGAAAATAAATAGATAAATAAAGAGATAGATTTAAAAGGTCGGTTAACATCATATATATATATATATAAAACATTTTTATGTTTAACATTCTTTTTATAGATACAGGTATTTAAGTAAATGCTCTGTTTATAATAAAAAAGAATTTACTGCTTATAAACTTCAAAGTATAAAGTTTATAAGCAGTAAATTCGACCATGCCGACCGAACGATCCTTTGTGGCCGAGAGGTTAGGCAAGTCAAGAAAAATGAGGGTTCCGTATAGGATGCAGGTTCGAATCCTGTCAAAGGACGAATATTTTCTATGAAAATTTCTCGGACATTCAGGCCGGTAAATGTTATTTAATACTGTTTATTATAAACAGAGCATTTACTTAAATACTTGTATAAAAAAAAAGAATGTTAAACATAAAAATGTCTTTAATTGTCGGACTTTGTCCATTTCTTTATATATATATATACATAAAGATGGAGATTTAATAGGCTGGTTAATAATATTTGAAGAATAAAAAGCCAGCAAAATTATACCAATATGCATTTTAAGAACTCTAACCAAAAACATTCCTCGGAAGATTAAGTTCCACTTCTTTGTTTATTCCTTGTACCGTTGAAAAAGAACACACGGGTGTTAGAAAATTACGACATTAAAATCCATCTCTTCATGCTCCAGTCCAATCAAATGGTTAATATACAATGGATATTAATTTTGATGGCATTTATTCTTCAAATTGATTTAACTGGCCTATTATCTCTACATATTATATGAAGCACACATGGACCATCTCCTGGTTTAATCATATATATATATATATATATATATATATATATATATATATATAAAAAAGAATATATATAAAATATTCAGAAATTCGCACGAGAGTTTCAATGTTTTCTTACTAAGTAAGTAATATATTTCAATGTTTTCTTACTAAGTAAGTAATATATTTCTCTCTATATATATTTTTCTCCGCACATTGTCAACCGTTTCGCATTTAAAAGCATAATGAAAAAATTACGGTAATGGATAACAACGCACATCTTTATATAAATCCTTATACTAATGAACAACATATAGTTTTGTACCACTTGCACTCCTGAAGATGATCTTGGAAGAAGATCGAAAGTACTTAGGAAATGAAAATAAAAGAAAATTACACATTAGTTACATTTTTTATTTGTTAAATTAGACATTATGTTAATGTCTCATTTATACAATGAGACATACCTAAAAGAGAATTTGCTGCTTAAATATTATATATATATATATATATATATATATATATATATATATATATATATATATATAGAGAGAGAGAGAGAGAGAGAGCGAGAGACATCTGATAATGTGTTAAAACTTTGGAATAATGCAATAATAAAAATTAAATTTCATCTCTCTGATAGATGTTGCGATCTGTTATTAGTGGAGATAAAGCGTTTATATATAAAGACAGCCTAGGCATAGGAATCAACACTGCACAGTGACTGTCAGTTTCATGCTTGAATACGATTTACACACCAAATACCTTTTACTGAGTTCTATATAAAATAAGTTGTGTCTATATGTATATTGGTTGCATTGAAACGTACAGTCACTATGCAGTGCTGCTTCTCATGCCTACTCTCTATACAGACGTACATACACATATACAGTGTAACCCGGATGTAAGAGAAACCCGGATATAAGATTTTCTCTAGTCCCAAATTAGAGCCTGTGTTAATGTATATAAAATAGACCAAACCCGGATATAAGAGAAACCCGGATATAAGAGACTTCTTCTCCGGTCCCGACAGCTCTCCTATATCCGGGTTACACTGTACATGTGTACGCGTAAGTGTGTCTAAGTGTGGATTTATTTTCTTGCATGATGAACTTGAAATTTGTTAATATCGGATAAGCCTTCGAAATGTCTTAGAATATGTTCCCATTCTTTGAAAAATCAGAGCGTCTTTAGTAATAGTCTTTATTGGAATCTGGCTGAACTTTCATTTTATCAAAAATGAACAGTTCTGTTTTGCTCCCGGATAAAAATTTCGATAGTAAAAAAAGAAAAAAAAACGCTTCTAGATGGCTTTGCTAAATTGACTGAAGAAACTATTCATGTAAATAAAGACTAGTGATTTGTCCTTTCTATTGAGAACCAGAAAAGACTATTTACGAAAGAGTTTGTTCAAAACACCAAGACGGACATATAATAGCAAAACTTGAAAATTACGCATCAATTTCTCGTTTATTTGTTCCTCATTTGACAAATGGTATAATTGTAAAGACATTCGCCTACTCAAACATTTCAGTCTTGAATCTGTAGAGACGGCATACTGAAATGTGGATAATTTGAATTTAATTTGAATTTGAATAAGTCGATAGTCCTTCAGCTCATTGGAGCAAGATTTTTTCTTTCATCTTGAAAATTTCCAGCGTTGCTTCATTCACAAATTCACCAGATAAGAAATTCCATTCGTTTATGACTCTCAAGGCTAAGAAGTTGTATCTTGAAACAGTTTTCGAGTGTTGCTTCATCAACCTGTTTGGGTGACCAGGGATCATTCTATTTGAGTACATGTAGAACTTCCATTTTATGACGGGTATTCAGTATTTTGTACAACTCACACAGATCGAGAAACTGGTGTTTTGACTGGAGGGATGGTAGCTTGATTTCGTCTGCAGCTTTTAAAAAAAAATCATTTCGCACCAAACAAGGCGATAATGCCGCTATGACGCAATGGGTGACTGAGAGTGAAGGAAAATGAAGAGACGTTAGCAAGGAGATGGGACAGTAAAAGTACAGGGTTCAGGATCACTGAAGATGGCAGGTGACGTTTCATTTAAATGTTTTGAAGATCGTAGGTGGCAGGGAAGCAAGAAACCGGAAGGGAGTTACACAGATGGGAAGTGCGAATGAAGAAACATTTAGAATAGAACATACGCTTACAACTAGCTAGTTCAATAATACGACCTAATTGCCAATATAGAAGCACTTGTTCTGTCTTACGTCTCTAATGCAATGGCTAAAAATATATACTGTTTTGTAGAATCTAACAGAATTCGTATAATAATCTAGTTTGAAATATAGAAAATAGAAGTATCATGGGCCTGACCTTGATACCTCATTGCCAAACTGGAAACTTGGATATAGAATTTTGGATATGGATTATGGAGTTAAAATTCCAGATCTAAATTTATCTAATCATCAGACAAGAGACTAATTTAGTCACTTTTATAAACGGCCATGTTGATAAACAGGAAAAATATACTATGGGATTTTTGAGATTCAGAGACATATTGCCATCCAACAAAGATCCAGTTCTTGTGAGCAAAGAAAAAAATGATTATCAAATTGTGCATGTGGATATTCTGACTGGCCACGGGTTGAAGAGAAATCAAAGTGAAAAATCAGTCGTACCTCGCTTCAGAGTTGAAGAGGTCATGGATCATGAGGGTTAGAGTCAGCACTATAATAAACGAATGTATGAGCGAAACAAATAAAAAAGAAAGAAAAAGAAAGAAGGAAAGGATGAATGAATAAATGAAAAAGGAAAAAAGAAAAAAGAAAGAAAGAAAGTAAAGAAAAAAGGAAAATGTGAAAAAGGAAATAAATGATAAAAAAGAAAAGTTGAACTAAGGGAAAATGTCGAATGAAATAAAGATAGAAAGAAAGGAAAAAAGATGGTACGAACAAAAGAAAACACAAAGAAAGTGTGAAATAAATAAATAAAGTCAAAAGGAGAGCGTAAAGAAAGAAATCAAGGCAAAGAAAGAAAGAACGAACGAAAGAAAGAACGAAAGAAAACGCGACGAAAAAGAAAGAAAGAAAGAAATGGAGTAATAAATAAATAGAAGCAAAGAAAGAAAAGGCACAGCAAGAAAGAAAGAAAAAGCAAAGAAAGAAATCAAGAAAGAAAGACATAAAAAATGGCAAAGAAAGAAAGAATGAAAGAAAGAAAGAAAGACATAAAAGATGTCAAAGAAAGAAAGGATGAAAGAAAGAAAGAAAAAAGACATAAAATGGCAAAGAAAGAAAGAATGAAAGAAAGACATAAAAGATGTCAAAGAAAGAAAGGATGAAAGAAAGAAAGAAAGAAAGAAAGAAAGACATAAAAATGGCAAAGAAAGAAAGAATGAAAGAAAGAAAGAAAGAAAGACATATAAATGACAAAGAAAGAAAGAATGAAAGAAAGAAAGAAAGAAAGACATATAAATGACAAAGAAAGAAAGAATGAAAGAAAGAAAGAAAGAAAGAAAGACATATAAATGACAAAGAAAGAAAGAAAGAAAGAAAGAAAGACATAAAAATGGCAAAGAAAGAAAGAATGAAAGAAAGAAAGAAAGAAAGAAAGACATAAAATGGCAAAGAAAGAAAGAATGAAAGAAAGACATAAAAGATGGCAAAGAAAGAAAAGAAGTAAAAAAAGAAAGAAAGACATAAAAATGGCAAAGAAAGAAAGAATGAAAGAAAGAAAGAAAGACATAAAAATGGCAAAGAAAGAAAGGATGAAAGAAAGAAAGAAAGAAAGAAAGACATAAAATGGCAAAGAAAGAAAGAATGAAAGAATGAAAGAAAGAAAGAAAGAAAGAAAGAAAGACATAAAATGGCAAAGAAAGAAAGAATGAAAGAAAGACATAAAAGATGTCAAAGAAAGAAAGGATGAAAGAAAGAAAGAAAGAAAGAAAGACATAAAAATGGCAAAGAAAGAAAGAATGAAAGAAAGAAAGAAAGACATAAAAATGGCAAAGAAAGAAAGGATGAAAGAAAGAAAGAAAGAAAGAAAGAAAGACATAAAATGGCAAAGAAAGAAAGAAATGAAAAGAAAGACATAAAAGATGGCAAAGAAAGAAAAGAAGGAAAAAAAGAAAGAAAGACATAAAAATGGCAAAGAAAGAAAGAATGAAAGAAAGAAAGAAAGAAAGACATATAAATGACAAAGAAAGAAAGAATGAAAGAAAGAAAGAAAGAAAGAAAGAAAGACATAAAAATGGCAAAGAAAGAAAGAATGAAAGAAAAACATAAAAGATGGCAAAGAAAGAAAAGAAGGAAAAAAAGAAAGAAAGACATAAAAATGGCAAAGAAAGAAAGAATGAAAGAAAGAAAGAAAAACATAAAAATGGCAAAGAAAGAAAGGATGAAAGAAAGAAAGAAAGAAAGAAAGAAAGACATAAAATGGCAAAGAAAGAAAGAATGAAAGAAAGACATAAAAGATGGCAAAGAAAGAAAAGAAGGAAAAAAAGAAAGAAAGACATAAAAATGGCAAAGAATGAAAGAATGAAAGAAAGAACGAAAGAAAGAAAGAAAGAAAGACATAAAATGGCAAAGAAAGAAAGAATGAAAGAAAGAAAAAAAGAAAGAAAGAAAGAAAGAGGAAACAGATGGGAAAATTGGTCAGAAGTAATATAGAAAGATGCCTGTTGATTGTTGATAGAATAAAACAGAAAGAAATTAAAATAGAAATTAGAAAAGAAAAAACATCCGCGAAGAGCAAGGCATAGGAAAAAAAAAAAAGAGAAGACAAAAGAGAAATAAATTAGAAAATTTGAAATAAAAAAAAACTAAAGAAAAAATGGAGAAACTACAACAAATTATTATATGACGAAGCCTAATAAAATTTATTAAAAAAAAATGCCGAACAATGTCCGAAATTAAGAAATACAGATCGAAAAACAAGAACAATGAAAATGCAAAACTGAAATAAAACTATTTTTAAAACGCGAAAATATTGAGGGAAGAAAAAAAAAGAAAAGTATAGAAAATTATAACAGAATCTTGTATGAGGCTTTAAGATCTTCTGAGTATTGTTGACAAGAAAACATTGCTTCAGGAATCTATGCCTCTATGGCACAGTACTGAACAGGAAGTACACACTAGGGCTTCCCTATCGATGCTAGTGCTTTATGGATTAACTACACATAGGCATATTCGAATTCATATTCAACAAATACATATATATATATATATATATATATATATATATATGTGTGTGTGTGTGTGTGTGTGTGCTCCAGTTGTAGTTATTTGGCTTCTGTTTTCTTTAACGAATGGGGTTTCTTAAAAAATAATAATAAAAAAAAAACTTATATCAGTTTTTCAAAACTTATATCAGTTTTTCAAAACTTATATCAGTTTTTCAAAACGTTCAGTTCAAGTTATATCTGAGGAGTGCCATTTGTTTTGTTCTTCATTTACTTTGGCTATTGCAAATTCTAACGGCCAAAGAAGTTCGAGCCCAGGGCAATGAATCTAGAATATTTCTAAAAGATTTTTTTCTGAAAATGAAAAAAAGCTGATACGGAATAGAAGCATTCCTGGTTTTTCAAGGCCATTGTACTAGTTATGATTAAGGTCTAAGCTGATTCGTAGTGGGGATAAGAATGCTCTTCACCAAAAGGTTAACATTCTTTCAAGAAGTAGGACTCATGATAAGTCTTTCCAAAATAGAAACCGAGGCATGGAATTGAAATGAAAGCAGTGAAGGCACACATCCTGAATCTACTATAAAATACTGAATATAATTAATAAATACATGTGGATGTTGTGTTGGGATTTTCCTTACTGGAAACTTTGAAATAAAACGAACTGACTCAAAAGTATAAAATAATATTTTTTTTATTTAGTTTAGTGATTTGAGAGACCTTTGATATTTGGTGCAGCAAAAAATTACGTTTATAAGACGGATACTGGTAGAATGTTTGGAGAAATTCCGACAGTGGTAGTTTTGAAGTCAGACCACGATAGGGTTAGTAGTAATATTAGAAAGAGATCAGTGTCAATCTACTATGTTTATGTCACTTGGCGTTATTAACGCCTATTGAAAAGAACTGTCTTCCTTCAATGACCAAATGACAGAAATGAACATTTTCTATTCTTTATGGATTGTTTCACAAGCGTGTTACAATATATATTTTTGGTATTTGTTAATGAAGAGTGGCATGATTCTTTAAGTTTCTGACCTTTCTTTCTAGCAACTTGTACCGACTATCCTGACCGCCAGAAGAAGTTCCAGCCGAATTGTGACATCCACCCCTACTCTGGATCTTTCAAAACAGTGTGGGCAAAGAAGGAGTTAACACAGCATCTAGTCGGGAACACATGTTGATATCAGACCCCACCTAGTGCTGTGACTAGCATAGAACCAAAAGAAGACGGAAAGTTCGACACTGAAATCCGAATGTGCTTTGGGATAGGGGAAGATGCCCTCCAAAAGCTAAACAGGGTATTAAGAAAAAGGAAAAAAATTCGCTCGAAAAAAAAGAAAAAGAGTACTGAACTGTTACGTAATAACACCCCCCTTATATAGCAGTGAATACTGGACAATCTCCTCGGAGATGAAGAAAAGACTTGAAGCAACAGAACAGTTTTATAAAAATGGAAACAAAAAGGAAACATGCTTAACATCAGGAAGTTGAAATAACTAGGACACATAATGAGGAAGGACAGCAAAAAGGAAACATGCTTAACATCAGGAAGTTGAAATAACTAGGACACATAATGAGGAAGGACAGCAAAAAGGAAACATGCTTAACATCAGGAAGTTGAAATAACTAGGACACATAATGAGGAAGGACAGCTTGGAAAATTTGTTACTCACATGACAAGGGCTGGCCGAGAGAGAAGGATCGGTGCTCGCACCGAGGCCAGCGCAACCGACGGTTTCGGGGGTTCGGGGAATTTTTGTTCCTTGCCCGGGTGCACGCTCTCGGGCTCCCCACATTAAACCGACCTTGTGTCACAACCTGACCTCGTAGGGGGGTGGGTTGAGTAAAATCTATTCACATGACAGGGACAGAAGGAAACAAAGCTTCACCTATCTTGGGCAAATGAATTGCGGAACAGGGTTTAGTAGTGATAGCAATAATACAAACTTTATTAAGAACTGCAAAGTACAGGTAGTTGTGGAGAGCCATGATTGTCAAACTCCTGATTTATTATGTTTTCAGATTTAATTAAATATATCAAAATTACATTATATTATAAGAAAAAAACAAACCAGCTCAGGGTATTTACCGGAGCTACCCACAAAATGCCGGTTTTACGTAGGTCTTTCCGACTCTTTATTCTCGGGTAAAAATTTCCCGTAGACCCCGTATACAGGGAGTCGTGTTTGTCTACCTCCCCAGACGAGACTGCCCTTCCTCCCTTCCCGAAGCCATACAGTATATTCCAAACTCAGAGGTTTGGCGCACTAATATATATATATATATATATATATATATATATATATATATATATAAAAGCAAAACCATTGACTGGTCTTCTGCATTCTCGTCCATGTGCGGGTGGTGTAATGTATAAGAGCTCGGAATGTGAAAATAGAGGGTTGAGTTCAAATGAAAAGCGTGTTCGTTACATTTACTTATACACGAGTATATTTCGAAAAGGTATGACTATCTCCCCAAGCTATGGGTTAAATAATAGATCTCGTATCCGGAAAGAATTATTGTTATTCTCAAAATCTTGCTAATAGCAATATTTACTCGCAAAAAAAGAATTATTTTTACAATTCAAAAGTATAATTCGTTTTTAAATAATCCACAAAGGGTTGATTAGCAGTAAAAAAAAATCGAAAAAATATTAATCAATCAAAGAATCTAATCAACCATTCATGGGCAGAAAAATGATTTTTAAAAATATCGGAGAAATTTCAGAAAAAAAATCCACGCAAAAAAAAAAATATAAAAAAATTATATTTTATTTTATATTTGACAGAATCAAAACAAATTCCCCTTGAAAATGTCATGTTCAAACGCTTACGGCCTTGGCCGATAACTTTGTTTATTGTGGAAGCAATAAACAATTTCTTTCTTTTTCTTTCTTTACACATTCCTTTGTTTGTATCGTGTGTTTAATGGAATAAACGTAAACACTGATAAGTGTTTTTTTTATAATTAAAGAATGCACTTATTTAGAATATTATTTAATTTAAGAAAACAAAGAAAGTGAAGAATGTTGGTAATCTTAATATATTTCATGAGATTTCATTTAATAGATTGGCATCTTGCCTATTAAAATTGTAGGTAAGTTTGCGCTTTTTTTCACGGCCATCTTGTTTGTAAATATGTCATATAAACGAAATAATGACATTAAACCTGAAGCAGGAATTTACGACATAGATTGCAAATATGCCACATGAAACGAACGAGAAAGACATCTTGGAATTTCAATAAAGGAATATCGGAAAATAAAAGTGATCTAAAAAACAATAAACAATGAATTAGTCGTCCATCGTCATAGGTCTGACCCAAATTTTCACTTTTGGTTAAAAAGGAATTTATTTTATTGAGGCGAAAATATGTCGACAGAGAACTAACTTCGCAATCTTCTACGGTAAATGTATATACAAGATCATACAGCGTACCTCATTTACTCGCAGACTTTCTACGAATACAATGTGGGATAATTAAAAAGAATAAGAATAATAAAGTCAGTCAGTTATGTGCCATGCGTGATACATGCTTAGGCGATCATGTATCTTTTGATACTTGACTGATGAGCCGGTTTTTTTCTCGCAGTTTTAGGAAAGAATAAAAACAAAACCGAAAACAATATAAACGACTGATGTTTAGCTACTCTCGAACCAAGTAAAAACTTATTGACTTAAATGTTAAACCCCAGGAGAGAAAAACTCCACGCCTTCTTTGCCTCGTGTTTTCCACTGACATGAAGTGAAGCGACTATATCGAATCAATAGCTAAGTCTATTATTTACATTATTCGGACTATTGTCCTCATCTTTGTCGCCATATTTATGACAACGTTTCGGCCGTTGTACGCTCCTGCCTTCTTCAGGTGGTTGGAATGTCGGACTGAACCCTTTATTTCGCTCACTGGGGTAGACTGTTCTAGTTCCCCGTGCCATGTTTGATGGATGTCAGTTATCAGTTATCTCCTGTTAAACGACTTTATCTCCTTTGACGTGATCTTCAGGCCACATGGCACAGTGGATAAAGGCGGTTGGTTAGATCCAGTGAGAGGACCCAAAGAGTGTGAGTTCAATACCCGGTTAAGTCAGTGAAGAACTTTTGAGGGAAATTAATATAGTCCGAATAATGTAAATAATGTACATAATACCTCATCTCAGAAATACAAACAAAGCTAAGTCTACTGCAAAGAAAGTTGCTTCACTGTGTCGTGCTAGAAAGTTTTCTCTCGTCAGAATCAATCTTGTATATTCGTCCCTGCATTGAATACTGCTGCGATATCTGTTCTGGTATTCCAGCTGTATATCACGAGATTCTTGACAAAATTCAAAGAAGGGTCTATAATGTAATTGATCTTGAACTGGCATCTCGACTTGTCGCTTTCTCACCAACGTGACGTGGCTTCCCTATGGCTTTTCTACAAATATTTTCATGGAAACTCTTCTGATGGGCTTTCTTCATTAGTGCCTCGATGACATGAATTTAAGAGTGCTGCTAGATTGGCAATTAGGTCTCACCGTTTAATTAATTAACTAACAAGATGCAACTATCTGTTCTATTTTAATAGTTTCTCTTATCAGATTCTCACCTTTGAAACTCCTTTCCAATTTTTTGTCCTGCTTCCTTGTCACCCAC